GTGGCTGGCTGGTTTTTAGACTGCCCCTCTATTCCACGACCAGCATCGAGAAGATGGTGTCAACCATTATTCAGTTGCGGCGGACCACACTGTTCCCATGGTCTTGTTTTTTTCTTACTTCATGTTACTTAGCTGTGGAAGCTTCGTAGACGTCCTGTGTATTCTATGCTAACTGAACCCATGCCATTGTTTCTCAATATGGCCACCAACGAGCGAGCTTGCTGCATCCAGGCAGCCATGGAGGAGTCTTTGAAGTACCAGCTTCAACACCAGTCCATCACAGACCTCACGCGGCTCAGAACTGCCCCAGGTCAACCCATCTTTGATTCATGACAGCCTGGGCAACCCGCTGCCCCTCAGACACCAGCTTCTCCCTGAACCCCTCACACCACAACATCTCAAGCGCCCCGTCCGCGGAGACGGCGTTGATCTCGCGAAACACGCCGTGGGCAACCGCAAGGGGCGCGACCAAGGCGTCCACCTGAACGCCGGCACCCAGGGCAAACTCGAGGCTGCGGCAGATGCGCGCCGCGTAGTCTCTCGGTCGACGGTACCTGTTCGTGTCGATCTGCAGGGTGGGCGACAGGTCGGCGTACATATTTTGAAAGTCCTCGAGGACTGGCGCGCAGACTGCGGCGTGTACGCGGTCGACAGTGGCGCGGAAGAGGAGGGTGGCTGTCCAGTAGGTGATCAGCGCGAGGGCCGTCGTGCTGTCGCGAAACGAAAAGGCGTCGGCGAACGGCAGCGGTTGGGAGGCGGGGAGGACCGAGGGGTTGGCAGAATGGGCCGCCCAGTAGGCGGGGTCTGAGGCTGGGTTGAGGGTAGCGTACCAGCCGTCGAGCTGTGATTCAACGGCAAGGCAGTCGTAGAGCAGTTCTTGGGCCTCCAGACGACGGGCCAGCGTGGCTTGTTTGGGGGTGATGAGGTCGGCGCGGGAAAAGACGCCCGGTAGCAAGACAAGGGTATCGAGGAGGAAGTCGAGAACAGACTTGGGGTGGTATTCCCAAGGGGTTGTACACCATGCTTCCTCGGCGAGGAAAGTCATCTTCTTGTTGATGAGGGCGAGCATCACCTGTATGGGTCAGTGTCCAGGGCCGAGTCCCAGCAGGTTTCGGGGTGCTCTGAGGGCCAGCACTTACAGCCGTCTGTCTGTATACACGCACAAAGTAATGATGGGCTGGAAAGTATTGGTAGCTCTCGGGGCCAGCTTTCCTCACGCGGCTTAGTTTGTCCTGGTTCAGTTGCCAAGTAGGCTGACCACCCTCTTGGAGGAAGGATGAGTTATGCTGCCAAGGTAAGCGGCAGTCCATTCAAAGGGAGCGATGGACTACGTACATCGAACAGGAAAGTGAATGTTCCATTCAACGAACCACTGCCCTCGTCTGGCGAAGACAGACTGACCAAGGAATGGGCCGTGACTTCGAGCTCTCGCCCCTTTTTGAGAAAATACAGACCAGATGGGGCGTAGGGCGCCAGGGCAACCTTGGCAGTGTCCTTCTTCTTACCCTTTCCAATGCTCTGAACGTTTGCCTGGAGCACGGCCATTTGTACCAGGTAGGTGACGCCCTTGTTTTCGACGAAGAGCAGATCATCCCAAGCAGGGGCCAAGGGCTCAATGGCAGCCAATTCCATCACATCATCTTCGGGGCTATTGGACTTGCTCTTCTTGATCTCAGGGCTGACGGACTTGCCCTTCTTGGTCTCCGGCGTGACTGACTTGCCCTTCTTCGACGACGAAGCGGACGAGCTGACGTGGCGCGGCGGATGAGAGGAACACCGGCCAGCGTCGTCGACAGTGGCCATGATGAAGACCCTCTCACGCTCGTACCCGGCACACTCGCGGCCGCCATCAATGCATCTCTTGCACTTGGGCCGCTGGTTATCACACTAGACATCTCGTCAGCCTTTTTGTTCGCCGGAGCAGTGAACGCCGCAGACGTACCTTGACCCTCCTTGCCCTACAAGTCTCGCAACCCTTGTATTTCCCAGGAACACCAACCATTTTTGTGGAGAAGAAGACGACGAGGTGTAGATTCGAGAGATCAGGACAGGTTCGTGATAGGGGCGCAAGATGGAGTAGGCCGTCAAAGCTAGTTTCCTTGGCAAGGGCCTACCGATGTGTGCATTGCCGAAGCGGGATCGAGCCAGATGCTTTATACAAGCTTCTCTCGAGCCAAGGCATAGAGAACGCCGGCCCCCCGGGCGTCGTTGTCCAAAAATATGGCGAGAGACAGATTGAGGATCGCATCGTGGCTCAAGGGGATCATGGGCCTCAAGACACTAGACCACTCGGAGCCCCCATCGACCAGGGGCCGTCAGGGACTGGACAAAACCCGAGGGGAGATCACGGCCGAGCCTCCGAGGCTCCAGGCACCGGCATTTCCTCACACACATACACATACACACACACTCTCTCTCTCTTGTTCTAAGGTTCTGACGCTGTGTCTGGTTGCGGCTCCTGCCAAATCAGCCGACGGATACCATCAGGTGACGACACTGCCTGGAGCCATGGATGTTGCTTCTTTGGGTTCCCTGCCCTCCTCAGCGAAGCCTGGTAGGGCCATGCTACCGAGAGTGGCAGATGTGACAGCCGCCCACCCTCATTGGGGGATGGACCGATTCGAGGAGGAAGCGCGGCTGAGTCGGTCGAGACGACTCGGCTGGCACGAGTGTCCTGCGGCTCGGAAGACATCCTCTAGGAAGTGCGCACAATTACCCCGCGGGAAGCGAGATTGGGCGCTGTGCTGGGTGCGCTGTTGCCGAGATGTTCGTTGCTGGTAGGTGACATCTTGGAAGAAGAGAAGAGGGGGGGTGTACTTCCTCGGGAGGCTCCAGTATCAAGGCCCTGCCCCGTCGTGGAGGTTTCGATGCAGGAAGGTCGGGTTCGATAGCGTCTGATTCGCTGGCTCTAGGGGGTGTCGTTGATCTGTACCGGGTACCTAGGTACGCTAAGGTAGCGGCGGATGGTGGAGGGTCCAGGGCCCGGTCCAGGGGGTGGGGGGCCTCGAGCTTCCGGGGGACGCCCCAGCTTGCCCGGGCAGGTAAGGTACCTAACCAAGCTAACCACCAACGGACATAGGGCTGCAGGGTCTCCTCCTCCTTCTTCGCACCTCTGTTCACACTGCCACCCAACTGGCTCGATCCCAAGGCCCGGTGTTCGGGCCGCTGAGTGGTCGTCCAGCATGCGTTGTCTGGGCCCGGGAGGCGAAAGAGTCCAGATGATCCTGTCTACAAGCCTGAAAGAGTCGCTGGCTGTCGTCACACGGGATACGGGGGACACACAAGGGGGACCTGCCCCCGCCCAGAATGCCTTGCCTCCCTGCTGGATACCCCATCGCGGGGCTTTGAGCCTCGCCCCCAAACGATCGCGGTCGTTCCAAGGCCGCTTCTCACTGTTTTCTGTTTTTCTGGGTCTGGCTTGACGTTGCCTCTTCTCCGTCTTCCTTGGGGTATCATTCCGCGTATTGCGAAGGAGTCTCGATGGATCCTCAAACGCGGCTCAAAGAATCCGTCAAGGCTGACTCTCAACTGCTTTTGATTTGCGCGCGCGCGCGCACGAAATACACCTTACACTCGAGGTGACCACCGAAACCATCATGACCGACCCGGCAGTCGACATTCCTTCGCTCCTGTCGATGGTTCGATGCAGTGTGATTGCCAAGACCAGTCTGCACGACGAGTCTGCCCAGCGGTCTAGTTAAGGTGCTGAAAGGATTGCATCTCTGGACCCCCAATATTAATCTCTCCTCTCCAGCAGCCGAGGTAGTCTATGCAGGGTGGGCTGCCAACCCCCATGTCAGCTCACCCCCCCCATCTCTTCTTCACCAAGCACCATCCGACAGTCGCCTCTCGCATGATGGTTCCGCCACGCTGGGTGGTACAAAGCAGGCTTGCGGGATCGGCGGACACGGCCACAGGCAGCCACTTTTCCATCACGGATTGCGGGCACTTAAACGGCGCGAGCGCACCCACACAAGGCACGTTCGGGGAGGGGGGGCGAAAGAAGAGCACAGCAACGGGGCTGCAGCACAAGAGATGTGGCGAAGATCATCAAGGTGATGCACCAGTGGAAAGCCATAAAATAAGGGGAGAAGGGGGGGGGAGGCAGTGCCCAGTGCCCCAATACCTGGTTCCATTTTCTTTTTTTGACAATAAAAAGGCCCCCGCCATGGGCTGTGAGTTGTCTATTACCGAACCCTCGAAACTTGTTTCCCGATTGAGAAGGTACAGGTAGTACAGTCATTTCCAGGCTGACCACTTGGGGTGGGCTGCATCTCGATGCTATCCGATATCTACCACGCAGTCACCATCCGGCCCGAGTAATCGTACAGTGCAGTCGAAGCGAGAGTGCATGGTGTGTCTTTCCCCATTCGAGACTCGCCCCCTTGCCTATTCTAGCCAATCTATACGTTTTGAGGTGCCAAGGAAAAGGGAGGGCAATGGACACGGACGCCCGTGGAGAGGGACGCCTGTGGAAAGGGAGAGGGGGTATCAGATGTATTTGTACGGGTTCATGATGCCGTTCTGATGACACGATTAGCAAAAGCCCACTCGTCAAGGGTCGGGGACGAGAGAGAGAGAGAGAGAGAGAGAGAGAGAGAGAAAGAGGCAAGGCTTGTCTCCTGTCCTCTCGTACAGACGCGTATAGACTCACCGGATCATAGAGGTTCTTGATGCCCTTCATGAGGCCGATCATGCTGTCGGATCGGCTGTAGCCGATGAACTTCTTCTTGGCCACGCCCAGGCCGTGCTCGGCGCTGATGCTGCCGTTGCGCTTCTGGATCCACTCGTAGACGAACGGCTCGAGCACCTCCTCGACGCGCGGATCGTACCGCCGCACGGCGGCGTTGAGGTGCAGGTTCGAGTCGCCCATGTGGCCGTAGCCGACGACGCCGACGACGGGGAACGCGTCCGTGTCGCCGACGAGGCCCGCCGCCTGCATCCGCTCGTTCGTGTCCTCGACGAGCTTGTACATGTCGGCAATGGGGATGGACACGTCGTACTTGTACGTGCCGCCCCAGTGGCCGAGGCACTCGGGGATGCCCTCGCGCCAGCTCCAGAGGGCCTTGGCCTGGGTCTCGTCCTGCGCGAGCACGCCGTCCGACACGACCTCGTTCGACATGACGTCCTCGAGGAACTTCTCCAGCTTCTCGTAGTCGTGGTCGCGTTGGACCCGCTCGTCTCGACGAGGCAGTAGAACGGGTGCTCGTCCTCGAGGGGCCCGCTTGGCGTCGCGCCGCACCTGGTGCACGAGCTGCTGGCTGCCGGCGTCCATGAGCTCAAAGGCCGACAGGATCTCCGACAGCTGGCCCTTGGCCGCCTTGAACGCCTGCTGCACCTTGTCGAACGACTCGAGGCCGAAGAAGGCGACGTTGACGGCGCTCGAGCGCTGCGGGCAGATGACGGACACCTTGGTGATGATGCCGACGGTGCCCTCGCCGCCGATGAAGAGCTGCTTGAGGTCGTAGCCCGTGTTGTTCTTGCGCAGCGTGCAGAGGTCCTCGACGACGGTGCCGTCGGGCAGCACGGCCTCGAGGCCGAGGACGTTGCCGTGCAGGCTGCCGTAGCGCAGCAGGCGCAGGCCGCCGGCGTTGGTGGCCACGTTGCCGCCGATGTGGCACGAGCCCTTGGCGCCGAGGTCGAGAGGGAAGATGTAGCCCTCTCGCGAGGACTGTCGCGTTCTCGAGATGACGCAGGCGTCGACGACGACGCCGCTGAACGTCGTCGATGACTGAATTCTTGTTCATGCGGCTCATGTTGATGATGATCTCGTCGAAGATGGGGACCGAGCCGCCACGAGCCCGTGTTGCCGCCCTGGGGCACGACGGCGAGCTTGTGGTCGTTGCAGTACTTGAGGACCTTGCTGACCTCCTCCGTCGAGGCAGGCTTGAGCAGGAGCTTGCTCTGGCCGCGGTACTTGCGCATCCAGTCCTCGTTGAAAGCTTGGAGGTCTTCCGTCGCATCAGCCGTCACGCCATCAATGACACCAGAGGGACCCAGCAGATCCTTGAAAAATGTGACATGCTCCGGCGTGACCTGGCCAAACCTCGCGTCGCGCTTCACATCAGGATACGAGTCGGACGTCAGCTTGATCTGCTTGAGACCCGAGGCCTTCTCCGCAGCCGACCGTGAGACGGTTGTGCTGAGGCATCGTAGTGGAGCCGCCGTGACGGGAAGCTGAGCGGCGCAGCGCGTCGTGTTGAGCAGAGCCTGCCGCCGAGTCGTCCTCAGGGCCGGCAGCAATCTAGATGAGCGGGACGCCATTGCGGTGTGCATCCGTTTTCAGGTCGCTGAGACTCTCGTTCGCTCGCCGTCGAGGTGCGTGGTGTTTTGATGTCGCAAAGGAAGGCAAGATTTTGACGATGAGACGACCTAAGCGATGTCGGATCTGTTCCAAGTGGCTGGGATGTGCCGGGGCAGAGAATCCGGCGGGCCGTTGACGTGGGTGGGTCCAGAAGTTAGCCACCGATTCGGTGAGTTCGGTATAATCGGTGTGCGCTCAAGAGGATCAATCGTCACAGAACTCCAAAGATTCTTAGCTCCCTGTGGCATCAGTTGACCTCGTTGCGATTGATACAGTCATGGTGTATTTGAAATTTCATGTGCGACAACCTTCAGACCTATTCGCTCTCTCGAATTGACAGATCCGAGGACGGGCGAGGAGCTGCCAAGGAACGAAGCTCACATCCAGCCGTTCAACGACCATGATCCAAACGGTGTAGAATCCTACCCAAGTCCTACGCCCTCAGCCCAATGTGGCAGGTGCACTGACAATAGAGAACTGTCCACCAGCACCAGCCCATGTTAACACCGCCTCGTCCGCATCCCGTCCCTTGACACGTTGTGCAACCTCGACATCCTCCTCAGAGTTCAGGCCGAGCTGGCCTTGTGAACCAAACCCCGTGGCGTAGGCGTCCCCGTCCTTTGTGATGAATATTGTGTGGTCTGTTCCACAGGCAACATGCGATACCAATCCCACATGCGGTACTGCTGCAGGCCGAAGGCAGATGGCCGGCTTGTTCCGTTCATCGAAACGCACCTGGGCCGCGTCCTGCAGCTGTTCAGGCGTGAATGTGAAGCCGAGCTGACCACCGTCCATCCGGCCCCACACGAAGCACTCGCCGTTCGGCGTAACCGCAGCGGAATGGTGAGCGCCGCCATCGATGCAGGTGATTCCCTTTCCAGCGAGTGTCCGAATCTTCATCGGATACGGTAGGACGGCCGAGTTGGTGCCTGCAGTGTCGGGGTCCCCCGCTTCGCCGAAGCTGTTGAGGCCCCAGCTCCAGACGTTATCCTTCTTGTCGATGGCGAAGGAGTGGTATTCACCGGAGGCAATGTATTTCGCATTGTTGCGGCACACGCGGATCTGGTGTGGGATGAGGCTGTCCTGGTCGCGGCCGAAAAGGCGACGTCCCAACTGGTTCTGCTCGTTGTTTCCCCAGCCCCAAATGTTGCCACTGGCGTCAAGTGCCAGAACGTGGTCAACACCGCATGCGAGCTGTGTTATGTTCTGCACGCCTCGAATGAGCGCGGGCTTGTCTTGCTTCGTGATCATTTTTCCATCCGCTTCGTAGCCGAAGCGTTCATCGCCTTTGGAGTCCTATGAAACATGTTAGTCAAACGATTCCATGCAAACGTCGCTAGAGACTCACCCGAAACGTGCCCCATCCGTAGACAAGCCCGGTCTCCGTGAGAGCAAAGCTGCAGCTATCGCCGGCAGCAACTTGCACAAAAACTGTGTCTGCCGGGAGATGTCGGGACGCAACCTGCGTAGGCGTCGACTCGAGGGGGTTCAATCCTCCCTCCTCCTCTTCACCAGATTCCGCGTCCATGTCGCGCAGCTTTTCATCCCAGGCCGTGTCTCTGCCCAATGCACAATTGTCATTAACCCCCCAAGTGATGATCTTGTTGTCGGCCGTCAGAGCGACCGTATGCATGCCGCCACAGGCGATTTGAACAACATGAAATTTGGAGGAGTCGACTGGGTTTAAAAAGGGATTTTTGCGAGGACGTAGAGACTCTGTCTTGTTGGGACCAAGACCAAGCTCTCCATTGTCGCCATTTCCGAAGATGAGCACAGTGCAAATTTCGGTCGGGGCCTGATTAAGGGCGCCAAACGTCTTCGTCGATGACTGAAGGTGCTTGCCGTCTGTCTTGGGCTTCTTCACGGCTCGTTTTTCACGATCGTCATCAGCGCGCCCACGCTTCGTGGATGGGACGGCCGCGTCACCCTCGTGCACATCATCCGATCCCACCAGCCTTCTCTTCCTTGGAGGGTCTAATACCCTTGAGCAATCAGCAAGCCATAACTATCTTGAAGTGATACACATATAAGACCCTGACTCGGGCAGCAGTATACTAACGAGTCGCGGCCTTGTCGACGACGGGAGGAGCCTTCGCTTTTGTGCGAGATGCGGTGGATTTGCTCACAGACCCAGCGGTTTTGTTGGCCGGTTTGCGCCGCTTTTCTACTCGGCCCGTCATTTGGTTGCTAGAAAAACTGATCGTACGAGATTTTGTCGAGGTTGAAGTTTCCTGGTCAGAAAGGAAAAATTCGAGTCGGGGCGTGTCAGACTTGACTGCCTGAAGGATTTACACCATGAAACTACGCCGTAGACAGATGCGTCTCCATATGAACCTTGTCCAACACGTGACCAGCTGCATGTCCTCCTGGTACATGTAGGCCACCGTGCAGGACGACACCATAACTGAGCAATCCGAGGGTCGCAAGGTCTCGCTTCAGAAGAGAGAGGCTCGGCATGACCACACGATGTCACGGTGATAGTGCCCCTCTTGGAGATGGGTCGTGGAAGAAAAGGGCATGATGGCGAGGTGCGGACCAGCGGCTCCGCCTCCCCCTTTTCCCATCGCGTGTCCCAACGGTGATTCTGCAACGTAGGCGCGCTCGAGGTATTGGATGGACCGGCATCAGGCAACTTGATGGATCCTGGCTTGCTTAAAGATCACCCATGGCGGACGATGGCTCGCATGATAGTCGAGGCCGTTGGGGGGAAAGTGTCGTGTCCGGGGTTAATGGATGGGACGGCCATGATCGCCGCTGATTCGCGGGGTGCAGGAGTACATCCCTGGATGTAGAGTGATGGGACCAAGAACGTCGATGCTCATCGCAGAATGGGGAAGGATGCGCGGGAAGGGTGTCGTTTCAGATGAAGCTCTTGGGCGATGGGGCCGATATGCGCCTTTCCGTCTTCGTCCTAAGGCGTCTGATAATTGCAGTGCTGGCCCGCGACATTGGTCCGTCTGTAGTTGAGGAGGTCATTCATGCCAGTTGGCATTGTACATGTAAAAGGGATGAAGACCTCGAATAGACTCGCTTTCGTTTTGGCCTGTTCTCCTTCCATTCACTCGTTTCTTGACTCAGCGTTGAGCGTTGTAAAGAAGAGCCAGGCACCGTTGGAGAACAGCCTGCCTCACGACAGCCATATCGGATTACGAATTACGGATTACCTCACAGGCACTGTTACCCTGGTCTCCACCTCGACGCTTCGGGCACCGGCAATTGGCCGTCAGCACTATCGAGCCACGCAAGACGCCCCGATAAGAGAGCCCCGTCACCCCCGTCACCCCCGTCACCCCCGTCACCCCCCCGTCAACCGCCCTCGGGCGCCGCACAGCAGCCGAAGCGGGCAGGCGACCACTAAAAACAGCCTAGCGAGCCACTAGAGCCCGCCCAAAATGGCAGCGAGCGGGGATCTTCTTCAGGGGACGCCAGCGCATGCTCTGCCCGGCAACGAGGAATTCCCCGATTTCTGTTTACACGCACATGCACACGCACACGCCCACGGCAGCCACATCCAGACCAACGCCGACACCAACCAACATTACCGTCTCTCCAACTCGCACTCAACCACATCCAACGACTCTGCCGATAACAGCAGTAACACGCCCACAGCATCCTCACCTGCATCCACACGGCCGACAAGCCCCGCCTGCACCGAGTATTCTGCCACAGACTACGGCTCGCCCACCACATCCCGCATCCGCACAAACTCGGGCCGCAGCTCCCCCTCACCCATCAGGAGCCGCCGCGACAAGAAGGAGCTGCACGCCGCCCGACTCGAGCGCGCTGGGTCGGCTACTGCACTCTAGCCCTTGCCATCAGCAGACAGGAGACACAGGCAGCGGGACTCAAAGCAGCGCTTCCGCTCCTCCACTTCTTCGAATCCCGCGCGCCTCGCTGCCATCGAGCGCGCATGCCAGGGCCTGACGAAGATGGCCTTCGCCGAGCAGCAGAAATGGGTGACGGTCCAGCAAAAGACCTTTACCAAGTGGCTCAACACAAAGATTGTGGCACGGGATCTCGAGGTTAAGGACCTCGTGGCGGACCTCAGTGATGGTGTATGGACCGAGCCCCTGAAACCCCCGCACCCCTTTCGAACCCCGCTGACAGATATTCCTCCCTCTTTTTCTAGGTCATCCTCATTCACCTACTAGAATGCCTATCACAAGAATCACTAGGCCGCTATGCGGCGAAGCCAAAGCTGCGCGTTCAGCGCTTCGAGAACGCCAACACCGCCCTCAACTTTATCAAGTCGAGGGGCATCCAGATGACCAACATTGGTGCCGAGGACGTTGTCGACGGGAACCGCAAGATCATTCTCGGGTCTCATCTGGACCCTCATTCTACGCTTCACCATCAGCGACATCAACGAAGAGGGCATGACGGCAAAGGAGGGCCTGCTCCTGTGGTGCCAGCGCAAGACGGCATGCTACGACGAGGTCGAGGTCCGTGACTTCAGCGCCAGCTGGAACGACGGCCTCGCGTTCTGCGCGCTGCTCGACATTCACCGGCCGGATCTCATCGACTACGATGCCCTCGACAAGTCGGACCACCGCGGGAACATGCAAATGGCGTTTGACATTGCTCACCAGGAGATCGGCATCCCCAAGCTGCTCGACGTGGAGGATGTGTGCGACGTGCCAAGCCGGATGAGAGGTCCCTGATGACGTACATTGCCTACTGGTTTCACGCCTTTTCTCAGATGGAGAAGGTCGAGAACGCGGGCCGAAGAGTGGAAAAGTTCTTCACCAACATGTCGGGAGCCTGGGAGATGCAGAGTGCGTATGAGAGGCGCATGGCGGCGCTGCTGAAACAGATTCAAGGGCAGATCGAGCAGTGGCAGCAGGCCAAGTTCGAGGGCACATATGTGGACGCCAAGGCGCAGGCGATGGAGTTTACAGCGTACAAAAGGGGCCAGAAGAGGGAGTGGGTGGGTGAGAAGAGCGAACTGGCAACTTTGCTCGGCAACATCAAGACAAAGTTGGGCACATACCGGCTTCGGCCATACGACCCGCCAGTGGAGCTGTCGCTGGACACGATGGAGCGGGAGTGGGCCAATCTGTCCAAGACGGAGATGACGAGGGCGCAGCTCATCAACGAGACGATCCGAGAGTAAGTCGTTCATTCCCTGCCCGCCCTGTGGAAAACGCCGACTCAAGCTAATCCACCCAACAGCATCAAGAACGCGCTGCGAAAGTCATTTGCTGACAAGGCCAATGACTTTGCCATGGCGCTCAACACGATGCAGCTTGCCATCTCAGGTCTGGACGGCGACGTCGAGGACCAACTGCATCACGTTCGCAAGCTCAGCGAGAACCTGTCTCCCATGGACCGCTACCTCGACACCATTGCCGCGGTGGATGCCAAATGCCAAGAAGCCAACATTGAGGAGAACGACTTTACGACATACGCCTACGACGAGCTCGCGTACGAGCTCGGCCTCGTCAAGTCCTCCGTGCAGAAGAAGCTGTCCTTCCTGGAGAACCAGATGGTCGCTCGTAACATGACGAACCTGACGCCCATTCAGCTGGAGGAGTTTGAGTCTGTGTTCCGCCACTTTGACCGCGACGACTCGAACGCGCTGCAAGAGCTCGAGTTCTCCGCCGCCCTCGCCTCGCTCGGCCTCGTCTTCTCCGAGGACGAGATGCACGAGTACTTCCTCGATACGTCGCACGGGCGCGACCGCGTTACCTTTGAGCAGTTTATTCGCTTCATGGTCAACGTCACAGAGGACCAAAACACGGCCGAGCAGGTCTTCCAGTCGTTCCGCGAGGTCGCCGACGGCAAGCCCTACGTCACCGAGATGGACCTCCGCCACTCGCTCGTCCCCGACGAAGTCATCGACAAGCTCGTCGACCTCATCCCCCTCCACTCGGGCCCGGACATGCTCGACGACCGCGGCATGCCGCAGTACGACTACATTGCCTTCATGGACAAGCTCATCAGCGGCACGGCGGGCGGCAGCTGCGATGCCAGCAGCGCCGGCGGCGACTATGATGACGATGATGTGCCGTCGGGGGTGCTGAAGGAGCGTACGAACCAGGACAGCATAACCTGAGGCAGGACAAGGTCAACGGCTACCACTGAGGAGACTCTTTCTGTCGTTGCATCGCCACAATCATCTTTCCCCTGGAGCCGCCCGCCACTTCTTCTGCCTTTTTCGTTTCTTTTCTCTTTCCAGCACCCCACGCACGCCCGTTTTTTATCCATACTTTACTCTGGTATACCATTCCTTGTTTATCTTTATTCCTTTTTATTCTTCTTCTCTCCTTCGTCGTCACAAAGGCAAGCATGGTTGGGTGTTCGGGGTTGCGCAAACAGGGTCGGGGCCAAGACTGGGTATGCAGAGGCAAGGAGGAGAGAGGCTCTTCGCCGGCTGCCGGGTGGCCGGGCGAAAGTGGGACAGGGTTGTGGGTGACAAAGACGGGACGCTTCTTCCAAAACGAAAGAGAGACGTAAACCACTTCTTTCCGACTGCGACTGGAAGATTCAATATACTAGAAAGTAACACTGCAGCAGACCAAATATCTCTCTCTCTCTCTCTCTCTGTCGGAGAGACGTGGGGATGGTCTGCCTCCCGCTGTGTGGGAGCGCCTGAATTGGACTACAAACAAGTTTACAATTCTACCCCAGATCAGGACGCGGCATGTGCTCGAAGACATGTATTGTGATGATGATGTGCGAACGACAGCCATGGGCGCCGCCTGGATGTTTCGGCTGATGAACCTGCAACGCAAACCCAGACTCATCTGCGCCCCCAAGACAAAAAAGCAGAGGCTACAAACGCCAGAACACCTTCTAGCCAGAATAGAGTCACTATACATGGACGCCCCCCGCCCCCCTGAGCGCAAACACACATCCCCACATGGTCACACGCGTCTACTTTGCGCCGTCGAACGCGTCGCGCTCTTTCAGCGCGTCCGCGAGCCGCCTGTAGTCGCGAAGGAGCTCCAGGACCTCGCCGAGCTTGAGGTCGCCCGGGTTCTGCAGCTCCATGAAGCGCTTGTTGGGCGGCTTCACCTTGGACACCTGCTTGGGCGGGAGAGCAGGCGCAATGTCGGGGAAGGCCTGAGGGGGGGGGGGAAGGTCAGCTACGGATAGGACATGTGGTCTCGTCAGAGTCTGAAAAAACGTACGGCACTGAGGTCGCCGCCCTCGGCAGGCTTGGTCTGCGGGTCCTTCAACGTGGGCGCTACGGGCGACGACGCGACGCGGCCGAATCCGCGCATGACGCCATGCTCGAGAGCTTGGCCCATCGGGTTGAACGAATTGCCAAAGTTGCGGACGGCGTTTTCAAGCGGGTTCGCAGACGACGTCGGCAAGGGTGATGGAGCGGCTGCGTGCTTCTCTTGCGCGAAGAGAACCTTCTTGGAGCTGCTGGCACTGCGCGCGCTGTCGGCGCTGTGGTCCCGCGCGGCGGCCTTTTTGCCCCCAATCAGGCTCATCACCTTGTCGTCGGAGGGGGGTGGCTTGTGGGCGGTTTCGCGCTCGTCAGCGCCGTGGACGGAGCTGGCACCGCTCACGGAGCCGTCTTCGTCGGGCGGCGGCGTGCTGACGAGCTTGCGGGCGTCGTCGAGTGTTCTCGGGACCACGAGTGCCTCGCCTGTTGCCGTGGGCGCCCCCTGGGTCTCGCGCAGCTTACCAAGAAGAAACTTGTAGCTGTCGCCCAGACTGTTGGTAATGTTGTTCAGCCCCTGGTCGGCGCTTTTGAAGACGGCATCACTGGCTGCACCGAAAGCCTGAGCAGGCGTGTTGACGAGCTCACTAAGTCGCCTGTTCCGTGCCTGGACGACTGCGCGGAGTCCGGATGACGCAGAAGGGGAGGGAGGTGGCCTGAGCGCGGCGGCGTTGCTCGTATCCGTCTCGACAGTCCCCTCGGCAGCGCCATCCGCGGTGATCGTCAGGCCTGGCGGAAAGGCGGGCGGGAAGGTATCTGCCCTGGAGATGCCTGGCATGCCATCCTTGGGCGGTCCTTGGGGCAGTTCGTCGGCGCGCAGGGTGGACAAGTCGACCGTCTCGAGGAAGCTGATGGCCGCCTCGAGGTTGGTCAGGGCAGTATGCGGCTTTCGCCCCGTCAGTTTGGGTTCCCATCGGAAGTTCTGAATGAAATTGACGTCGCTTATTGACATTTCAGATGTTCGGAAGGCAGCGTGAATGAGGGTGAAGATCAGCATGGGCATGATCCTCGTCGGCCGATGCTGACGGATGGAAATGCGCCCAACGTGTCGACGATGCTCTTGTGAGCGGCTTTCAAGTGGTTGAGCTTGCCGAGCGGGTAGCGCTTCTCGTGCATGCGGATAAGATCTGTTCTGGCTTGCTCCAGCCAGCCCCTGATCTCCTCAGCCCTCTGCACGGCCGCGGCCGGTGTTGCTGTCGTGTCCTCTCCGAGATCGATGCCCAGGTCTGCGGGGCCAATACCGACGAGCGCGAGGGCTGCCGTCTTGGACCGGAGTTTGTCGTCCTGCGCCTGGTCTTGCGTGCTTCGGTGGCGGTAGATGCGATTGTAGAGGCCTTCGCACAACCTTCTCTCCACAGCCTCTTCCAGCATGGCTCTCTTGGCCTCCAGCGCTTTGCGAGCCTTCTTCTTCTCCGCCAACTCTTCGGCCGTGATCATCTGGCGTTCCGTTTCAGGCTTCGGTATGTTCTGGGGCTTGTCCTTGCTTCCGATCGACGCAGCCTTGGCTCTCAGTCGGCCCGCCGGGGTGAGTTTGGACGGTGGTGCGGGGGAGTTGGCCCGACTTTGACGCGTGGCCAGAGCGGAGATGTGCGTGTTGACGTGGCTCGAGGCGCTGAGGTAGAAGTCTTGAAAGAGCTGGGCGACATTGTCGATGCTGGGTGGTGTCTTGTGGACTTTGGACGTGAGGGCATCGACAAAGCTGAAGACGAACGGGTTAGCTCGTGGATAGAAGAGCATGTCGTACCATGTCGATTACCTGTCAGTCAAGCTTACGAGCTCGATGGGTAGATCATCGAGGTCCACAGATCCCCTTCCTGGATCGATTCCATCGTCCTCGTCTTCATCAGCGTCCTGGCCGGTTTCAAATGCATCGGGTCGTTCGATTTCCGCAGGCGGGGGGGCCTTGCTCAGGGGCGCGACGACGGCAGCGCCGTTGTGGAAAGTCTGGGCTCGTCTCGGGGGCTGAAGAGGGTCATTGCTCGCAGCACCGGCGCCTTGCGTTGAAGACGTCGCTCGAAATAGGCTCGGTCGAGAGCCGACAGAGCTCTTGGGAGTTTCGTTGGCCGCCATGTTGATCGGTGTGGTGCTAGAAGTCAAGGAGATCAGCCCAGCACGTGTCGACATGATGATGCCCGCCTCTCGTGGGAAGATAGACAGGAGGACGAGACGAGGGCAGCAGGGCAGCAGGGGGGGGCGCTCTACTTTTGATCTATCCAGCAGCGTAGGTTCGACAGGGATGAAACGCAAGGAGAAGAGAGCAGAGAGCAGAGAACTGCCTCTCGGCTGGTTGGGGTCGCGTAGAAGGGGACTGTGACGGGATGTGAGGATGCCAGATCCACCAGTGTGTTACGCCATTTGTAGATGGGAAACGCGCATGGGTATTTTCCAGTTGCGTCGTGCGCCAGAGGGAGAAGAGCGGCGAGGACAGGATCGAGAAACGAGTGGCAGCCTAGGTAGCAGCAGGTAGGCAGGAGATGCGGCAGGCGAAGGGTTGCGGGCTCACGGAGTCCACGGAAGCAGTCGATCGATAATGTGTGTCCAGTGCAGTCGAGTCCGTGACAGCGGGCAGATGACGAAGGTTGTTGCGTGGATCTGGTGGATGCGTCGAATTGCAGCCAAGTGGCCGATCCGGTCCTGTAGCGTGCTGTTGTAGCGTCCTGTCGTAGCGTCCTGTTACCAGCACGCTCTTGGGGGGGGGGTCCAGGTACCTTTTCAGCAGCCAGGTACGTAGGTGTGCCTGCGCCGGCTGCACTCTGCGGCGGACAGCAAGGTACCGTGCCCGCTGCCGAAGGGGTACCTGGGCAGGTGACTGAGACTCATGCATGGGAGATCGCCTTTCCTCATGCAGCGAAGGCTTCGACAAGGGTTCACATGTTCGAGGTCTGGTATGAGATGTGTGCATCTGCCTATTGAACTCAGCATACGCGTAGACTCTTGCGAACAGGCCTTGCCTCATCCCTCGTTGGACAGAGCCACGATGCAAGATCTCCCTTGCTGAGCGAAGGACCGAAGATAGGTACGCCGAGGGACCCAAGGTAGGTCGGTCCGGTCCCTCGAGGTATCAAGCCCCTCGACAAGGTACCTACTTACCTACCTACGCAGGTCCATGTACCTCACAGATAGGCCGGCCCGTGGCAGCTGGCACCACGTAGGCCCACCGTGCCGGCTGGTGCCTGGACCTGGAGCCTCTCCTCTCCCGCTACGCTCCAGCGCCGGTCTCTGATTGCTTATCGGTGGCCCGTGAGCCCCCCCCGCATGACCAAAGACACCAGGGAGACGACGTCAACAAGCCATCCACCTGACTGACGCAAGGCCGTGCCTTCGTCAGTGACTCTCAACACTATTTACCTACACAGGTACATACCTAACCTATCGCCGTTTGCCTTCTTCCACCCATCGTCGATTTGCTCCGTTTCTTCAACGCATCATCTGCTGCCTCCCTCATTGCATCTCGACCTCACGTACCTCAACACCCTTGGCTTTGTTGCTTTCGACCAACCCCCCCCCCAAGAAGCTGCAACATGAAGTGGCGGAGGAGGAAGCTCGGCCTCCTGTCGCTGCTCGCCACAGCCGCCGCGCCGATAACCGCCGTCTCTGGCACAGCACCTCCCATCGACGAAGCCATAGCGCTCCCCGGCCCCGTCCTCCCATCACCGCCCAACACGCAACCGCCATTACCTGCCGAGCACTCCTTTTCCCTGCGACACATCTTCCACCATGGAACACATCAACATCCCCGCCTCCACCGGAAGCGCGACATCATGACCAGCGACAGTGCCGCGCCCAACGTCTGGCTCGCCGCCGAGGACGAATACGCCAGGGAAGTCATGGGTCCGCTGAAGGCTCGAAGCAAAGCCGTCACGATAGAACGCTTGGTCGACCGCCGCCCTCACGTCGTCGACCCCATGGTGGCCGCCGCGCGCGAGAGGGGCTACGTCAACATGCTGAGCCCGACGGCATGGACCCTCGACGACACCCCCGGACCGGACGTGTCAGACAAGGAGACCATCTTGACGCTGGCGCGCATGACGGCCAACGCCTACGTCGAGGACGAGGAGCACCCCGACTGGGAGGACGTCGGGGCGCCGTTCAACCGGAGCGCCGACTTTGGCTGGCAGGGGGATGGTCTCCGCGGCCACATTTTCGCCGCCGCGAACAACGCGACCGTCGTCATCGGCCTCAAGGGCAGTG